AAAATAAAAGAAAAGATATAAAAGGGGCAAAAGAGATAAAGTGTAAATCAAAAAAGGGATAACATCCATTTTTGCCCCAAAAATATTCACCCAGAAGAAGTAGTGGCTATCTAGAAATATTTTTTGAAACAATGTCACCTCAGAAGTGTTAAAATTATAACAATACCGAGCTATCCTAATAGAACCAGATGTAATCTCTAACATGGTGGAGCAATCTCAGCATAATTTAATCAACTAACAGTTAACCGTTTGGCTTTGTTAGGACGACATTGCTATAATTTTGCTACTTATGGAGCGATATTACTCCAAGAAAGATACTCCCGGATAGCCACTGTTCCTAAATGAATATTTATGGGGTAAAAATAGATCTTATCCCTATTGAAAAAGTGCATTCTTTTTTTATTTGAATATGAAAATAGACATCTTTCAATATAATATTCTAAAATGGAAAAGAAAATAAACTTAAGGTTCCCCAAAGCATGGTGGATTCAAGTCAAGTCGACAATTACTGAAGGAGACTACTTTATTGATAAAAGATTTTTTATTAATAGCTATTTTCACGGAACCAATCGTGATACACTGATACCCTCTCTCTTCCGCCTTCAGATGGATTTAAATAATTATGTGATCGTCTTTTTGGTGTGAAAATGAATAGAAAAGAGAATTGAAATAAAAAAAATGAAGAGAACACGAAGGCAAAAGAAAAAGGTCGTAAACGACATTGAAAGGAATATTTTGGGATAATTCCTCTGTTCCTCCGTATGAAAATATCCTGATCTACCTTACCTCTTATAATTATCAATTTTGTCCTCAAACAATTTTTTTAATAATTACATATGTTAAAAAGTTGTTATTAACAGATAATTTGAAGATATATAATTAATCAAAATATTTTAAAAAAAATCTATTTATTATAAATAACTAGCTTAAATAATTTTTTTAATATTCTTAAATTAGTTATTAATCTTTTATACTTCCTCTGGTCCACAATACAAACCATTTTAATCAATTTATTAATATCAAAAAGGGGTAGTTAATTCATTAACTGTTTCAAATTGAAAATTTTCCAACTTTGCCCGTATTAAAAGAGGTCACGAAAGAGAGAGAAAAATCTAAAGAGATTACTCCCCTGGTTTTATTTATGGGGTAGAGATATAATAGTTTGTGGTCATATTTATAAGTTACTTCATTAAATTTTCAGTATGAATATATTATTTTATTCTTTATTTATTATAATGTAGGTAATTATCTCTTTAAAAGGTGTATATATTAAATATAAGTAAAATTTAAAAAAAATTTATATTTTAATAAACAGTTAATATATTTGAAGATTTGTCTGTGTGAAATATATTAGAAGTGTTTTATGAATAGAAATAAAGAAATATATTTAAGTATTATTTTTAGAAATAAAATTGATAAATAATTATTAATTACTCCTCTTTTTAAAAACCACTTGTATATTCTGGACACGGGAGTATTAAAGAAGAAGGGTGGTAGAATTATGCAGCGTAATCATTCTGCCAGAGCATCATTGCCATCATCACCTCCATTCCTCTAATTTGCTTTTCCCCCGTAGGGCTTCTTTTTTACACGGCGAATCTTCAAATCATCGTGTACATTTTCTTTCGGTGTTCTAATACATATAAAAGAAAGCTATACCAAAAAATATATATATATATATAAAAGGAAAAATGACAAATAAAAGCCTCTCAATATGTAAAATTATGATTTGGTCTATTGAAATTATCATTCTCTAAAAGGAACTTGTTGTTTCTTATAATTAACTTGTCATTTAGTTAAAGGACATTTTAGACATGTTATTGAGATTCCATATTTCCAAAGTGTTATTAAGAAAATGACAAATAAAGACTCTTAATATATAAAATTACAATTTGGGACTCTTAATTTGAAAATTAGTATTTATCTATCAAGCATTTTGAGTTCTCTCATCAACAACAATGTATGTACCACTAGGAGTGGTAATACGGGCCAACTCGCGGGTTGCGGGTTGGCCCGTGGCGGGTTCAACCCATATAGGTCGGGTTGAAAAGCGTTGTTTGAAGGCGGGTTGGCTTTTAGCCAACCCTAACCCGCCAGCAATTATTTATTTTTTTTTTTGAATTTTTTATCTTTTAATATTATTTTTTTATTCAATATTTAAAAAAAATAATGATATTTTTATGTTTTTCTTGAAATATTTGATTGGAAATACCAAATAAATTATATAGGTATTTTTTTTTATTTTTTAGATATAATATCATATATAATTATACAATTGTAATAATTTTTAAAAATTTTAAAAATAAAAAAAAATATGCAGGTTAGCCCGCGGGTTGGCGGGCTAACCCGCCGCGGGTTGCGGGCCTGACGGTGCAAGTTGGAAAGATTCGTTTACTGGTGAGTTGGCTAAAAAGCCAACCCTAACCCGTTATTTTTGGCGGGTTGGCGGGTTGAACCCGCAGGTTCAACCCATATTACCAGCTCTATGTACCACCTCTAATCCTATTTATAAAACCTTATTTATAATTTATAATGAGATTTTATAAATAAGACAGGAGGTAATATGAATTAAAAGACAGGATACGCCTTCTAGTTTTATAAATAAAAAAATTATTTAGAGATGATATATTTTTATCTTTAAAGAAGTATCGGGAGAGACACAGGGCAGTGCATGGGAAGAAACGGAGACATAGGTCACATGAGGAGGTTTTCATTGGTTCCTTGAATCTCCTCTCCCGTATTAAATATGGCTAAATTACAACGGACCTTAGAACTTATGAGCTCGTGATAAGGATGTAAGGATGCAAACTTGTAAAAATTTATTAGTTTAGTTTTATCATTAAATAGTTATTTAAAGTATATGATTAAATTATTAAAATAAAAAATGGCAACAATTTAGTTTAAATATATTTCAAATTGAATTTATTGAAATGTTTTTTAATAACAATCAATCATATTATAAAGTAGAAAAATAAAATATTCATAATGAAAGTATAATAGATTCCTTTGAATAATAGAGAAAAATTATGGAAAAATATCAAAACATTGAAATTAAACCCATCAATATTAATAATTATTATACTCAACATAGCAATTTACATTGAATTCAAAAGTTGTACTAATAATATTAGTTCTTGTCTTTTAATTTGTATTTTCCCTTGAATTGGACATTCCTAAACATTATATAAACTAAGTTCTACCCGGCACATGTTTGACATGCTCAACTCGTAAAGATAGTAAATTTGGAGAGTTAATTGGTTAGTTTAGCTGAGTTTACAGCTAATATTAGCTCAAAAACGAATTGATGACCCGGTTTTGTCTCGTAGAAATGCAGAAATATTAAACATGAACTATATCTTTTTAGAAATTTTACAAAATTTAAAATAAATATATAAGAAGAATTTTGTTTTGATTGCATAAAAATATGTTTTAAAAGATAACCACACACCACCTTGCTTTAAGGGTGTGTTTGGGTCAAAACCACACACCACCTTGCTTTTGTAAAATAAATCACTCAAACACCCACCCAAAAACCAAAACCATGGTTTTGGGTCAAAACTATGGTTTTGGAAAAAGTAAAAATTTTTTGCTTTTAGAGAAAAAAGGGAGAGTGTGAGAGCTTATAGGATATGTATTTTATTATTTTTTTATAAACATATTTAGTCTTATATTTTATAAATATATATACATATTAATTATTTATTAATTATATTATCTTATGTATTATTAATTATGTTGGTAAAAAATATATTATTAATAATTTTATTCCTTCAAATTAAAATATATCATAAAATCTATTTTTTCTGTAATTATCATATTAATTTATGTTTTTTTTAGTAATTGTTATATATAAAAAGTGCTTCTGATAACAACTATCCAAACACTCTCACTTCTCAGAATCACTTTTTTACAAAATCTATTCTTCACAGAATCTACTCTCCAGAATCACTTTTCCAAACCACAGTTTGGTTTCATCCAAACACACCCTTAATTAACTCTTGGCTCGATGCGCAAAACGATTCAAGCTTGGGTGATAATTTCAAATCGAGCATGAGTTTGTGACAACGGATGATTGTATTTCAACGATAAGTAGTCCATCCAAGTCAAGTCAACAATTACGGAAAAAGCTACTACCTCCGGTCCTTAATATAAGATCCTGTTTGACTTTTAGTTTGGTCTTAATTATAAGACCCCAATCTATTTTGTCTCTCATATTTATGTATTTTTTCCAAGATAATCCTTCTAATAATGATAGTTTTAGCCAATACACTTAATTAGCAAGGATATTTTAGGAATGACAACACTTATTTATTACAAATAACTAACCTAACTTACTTCCTTAATCTCCTCAAATTAGTCAACTGGGTCTTATAATTAGGACCGGAGGTAGTATTTTATTAGTAAAAAATTATTTAAGTAATTATTTTAACATTTTTTGCATCTGCAAATGAATAATTACTGTGTATGACCGAGGGGGTATTTGGGAGCCATTAGAACTTAGAAGCACTTTAAATGAGCACGTTCGTGTATAAACTGAGACAAAACTATTCTTTCATATTTATCTTAAATTTTATAAAATTATTATTTCTATTTCTAAATATAAGAGCTAATTAATTAATTTAAATGGATTAAGAAAATAAGTTAAATTTATTATTTGTAATAAATATGTATTGTTTTTCTTAAAATATTCTTGCTACTCAAATTTATTAGTTAAAAATATCATTATTTAAAAGACTATCTTTAAAAAAATAACTAAATATAAGAGACAAAATATATTGAGATTTTATATTTAGGAGTAAAACAAAAACCAAATAAAATTGTATATATTAAGAAGTGGTGATCTTATTAACACGATAGAATAACTAAATTATTCTAGTTTATTATGAAGTCGCTCTCTCTCGTAACAGGCATCGATATACATGTGTATGTGCGGTGTGTAGTGAAAATTGTGATCCGTTGAAGCTTGTTAGTGCGCTGCCTTTTGATTCCGCCCATAAGCCATGGCTGCTTCTTCTTCTTCTTCTCCCAGTTCTTCCTGGACTTACCATGTGTACTTGAGTTATAGAATCGAAGACACTCATCGCGGTTTCACTAGTCATCTTTATAACGCTCTGAAACAGAGAGGAATCCATTCTTTCACGAAAGGTGTAGCCGTTGAGAAGGGAGATGATATCTCTGCTAAATCATTTTTCCAGGCAATTGAAGCATCACAAATTGTGTTAGTAATTTTGTCTCGAAATTATGCTTCTTCCCGATATTGTCTGAATGAACTGGTAAAGATAATGGAGTGTCGAAGAAGGCTAGCCCAGCTGGTTATGCCCATATTCTATAAAGTAGATTCGTCTGATGTTCGTCATCTGCAAGGCACATATGGCGAAGCAATGAAACGACACGAGCTAAGGTTGGAATCGGGGAATGACAAGGCGTTGCGGTGGAGCGAGGCACTCCGGGAAATTGCTAACGTTACCGGCTTTCATTTAACAACAGATCGGTAATATATTCTAATTTAAACCAGCTCTCGTTTAAAAAGAAAAAAAAGAAGAAGGAGGAAATGATGATTGGTCGAACTCAAATCAAAATACCTTGCCATACGGACTCAAGTGCCATGAGAAATTGGATATAGCCATATAGGTTGTTGGATTAACCCCTTTCTATTTCATAGTAATTCTCTGCTTTTTGGAACTACTTGGGACATGTTTGCTTGCATAAATTCTTCATTTTTTTGTAACGTTCTACTTGGGAACATCGTACTTAATGTCGCTTTGAGATGGTCTTTTCGGTTCCGTCTTAATTCCAGGTTCGTCCTTCATGCTTAATTATGCCTGGGTATTCTTAGAATTGCGGTCGAGAGAGAAAGTAGCGTCTCCTGTGTGTGTTAGGTCTGGGGTTTCTCCTAGGGGTGTTGAAGCGTCTTCTTCGTTGGTTCGTTTTCATGGCAAATCGTTCTGTGATGGGAGAAGGGGCTTCGGTTGTTCTTTGCATCAGATAACGATTGATGACGGAAGGAGGGTGTTCGGCGATGGGGCTTTAGGGATTTGGGACGTATTGTTCGAGGATCTGAAATAGGAAGTGAGTGCTGTCTTTCCTCTGTGCTTGGGGCTTCGACTTTGTGTATCATAATCTCTGTGAGCGAAGGAGAAGGAAGTCGAGATTTCAAAGCTGTTGATGGAAGACATGGGTTTCGCTGGGTTCTTTTCTCTGAAAATTTTGAAGATGAATGGGCTAATCTCTTGTTTGATATGAGTTTAGGGAAGATGGAAGATGCACATAGCTAGTCTACTGTTTTGGGCGGTCCTCCTATGACTTTTTCTTAGGGGGTTCTGTGGTTTTGCATCTAGATTTTTGGTTGCCCCTGTTTGTTTTCGGTGTCTTGTTTTATGTTTCTCTTATTGTTGGAGTCTGTGGGTTGTTGCCTCTCTTTGTGGGATTTTATTTGTGATGGATGCTGGTTTCTTTCTACCATGATTATTGGTTTGCTGGAGTTTATTCCCTTGTTTCTTTACCCTTCTTGTTTGAAAGGTGTTTTGGGAGCTGCTCTTTTTTTTTTTTTTTTTTTAATTTTTTTATAGCATTGACATCAAAGGGAATGGGTTCGGGAGAGCGCGTCTTAAGGACAACCACCCCTTATTGCTTCTTTGTTTGATCATGGTGAAATGAAAGTTGGCTTCCTCACCTTCAATCTACAGGGTTTGGATTCTCAAAATTTTTCTTTCTCTTTTTCTTATCAGAATCTCATCTCTACTGTTGGATCAAATAATAGATAGTTTAGATTTAATAAGGAAAAAGAAGAATTTTGAGAGGATCCAAACCCCTATCTACAAGTTTTAGGCTTCCGTTGTCCTGGCTTTTGTTCTTCTCTTGGTTTGCTTATGGTATTTGCTCTCTGTTCTATTGGTTTTTCTCTTTGGGTCTTTTTAGTATCTGTATTTTGTTTGTTTAGTTGGAATTATCCTTTTAGTGAAAAAAAAAAAAGATAATTATGCTTGGGTATCTTTAAATTTGCCTCAGCTTTTACTCTTTTGGAACTATTGATAAGGTAGAGGGAGATTTTTTTATTATTTAAAGTCACCTTATTAAATTTTAAATATAAATATATTATTTTATTCTTGATTTATTATAGTATAGATGATTATTTTTTTAAAAGGTGTATATATTAAATAGGAGTAAAGTTGAAAAGTTATTATATTTAAAAAAATAATTAATACAATTTAAGATTTTTCTTCTTTATATGAAATATATTGAAAGTGTATGAGTAGATCACTAAACTGCCACCTTTGAAGCTTCTTTTTTTTTTTTTTTTTACCAGAGAACCTTTGAAACTTCAAAGTCCCATCGGCTTTCGAGATTTATAAAAGAATATTAAAATATGAGCCCATCCAATTATTTTTAAAAAAATTAGAAGTTGATCTTTCTTTCCGATACATCAAACACCCGGATCTTTTTTATGGTACTTCAAACATCCTGATTTTATTTTTTTAGTATATCTAACACCTTGATATTATTATTTTAGGGTGCTGGAAAAAGACCAAGATATTAGACGCATCTACTTTTTTTTTTTTTTTTAATTTTTGCTTGCAAGAAACAAATATAAGCACAAAATTATACAGTTAGCAGTGTACAACCAAACGCTACAGCTATAAATTCGGGCACTGAAAAATGTTGAAGAAATCAGGATTTAAAATAAAAAAAATATATAGACAATAATATAGGACAAATAATTACTTGAGTCTTAATCCTGTATTTATACTACCTCCGGTCCTAATTATAAGACCGAGTCCACAAACTGGGTCTTATAATAATGAGGACAGAAGGTAGTATTTAATGGTCCCATAAACTTCTCCTGTTTGAAAATAAGGGTGTGTTTGGATAGAAACCAAACCATAGTTTCAGAAGTGATTTTACGGATTACGAAGTAAATATGTGGAGGAGATTATCTCGTTTTGCGGAAAAGTGCTTCTGAAACCACGGTTTTAGGATACCCAAACAGGCCCTTATTTGCTGGTTTATTTCTAGTAATGATGCGTGCTAATTGTGGTTTCCCGGATGTTTGATTTAATGTTGACATCAGGTCTGAAAGTGAGCTGCTTGAGAAAATTGTTGAGGAAGTTTCAAGAGTATTATCGTTGGTCGAGGAGCATCCAATGAGAATAGAGCCACAAGTTCATGAACCAAAAGTTGATGAATGGTTCAATTATGATGTGTTCTTGAGTTTTAGAGGTGAAGACACACGTCAGGGTTTCACTTCTCATCTTTATAGGGCTCTAAGACGGTCAGGAATCCATGCCTTCATGGACGATTCAGGGCTTGAAAGGGGAGAACAGGTCTCTGCCTCATTAATGCAAGCAATTGAAAGATCAAAAATTGCGTTGGTAATATTTTCTCCAAAGTATGCTGCTTCCAGGTGGTGTCTGGATGAACTGGTGAAGATAATGGAGTGTCGAAGAAGTCTAATAATTGAGGTGGCTATCCCCATATTCTATGAAGTAGATCCGTCTGATGTTCGTCATCAGAGAGGCAGCTATGGTAAAGCAATGAAACGACACGGAAAAAGGTTGGGAAGGGAGAATGATGGGGTGATGCGGTGGAGGGAGGCACTCAAGGAAGCTGCCAACATTTCCGGCCTTAAATCTTCAGCATATCGGTAATACTCTAATTAAACCAACTCTCATTTAAGAAAAAAAGAAATGATTATTTGTCAAACTCAAAATACATTCCCCTGTGGCTTCAAGTTGTGTGTAAAAATTTCCCCAGTTGCTGCAAAATAAGGACCGGATAGTAGTTGTATTTACCCTAAATAACTATGTTCTCCGACATTTTGCTTGCATAGATAATACAATCACGTGGGTGATGAGAAATTTTAGTTTTATTTTTTTAAACAAAAATTCTGAATGCAGGAGAGAATGTAATATGTTTGGGTAGAGACAATATAATATTTTAAATTTTATATTTTGATATTTGCTTCTCCTAAATAATTACAATTCTTACAAGCTACTTCCCCAATAAACACGATTCTTCCCAAGTCTTTCTGGCTAATTTTCTCATGATAATTTATCATTAAGGTGATGATGATGATGATTATTATATTAATAAGTTCGAGCAAGCAATAACATATAACAAGGTGTCTGGAAGTTGTTGGAAGGAAGTTTATGCGATACAAAACTGATTTTATGTGATTGAGTTAACGCATATTACGTGTTTGTTAAATGAAGGATGGTATTGAGTTGAGTTGTGCTGTAATACTAAAAAAATTTCTTGGATATAACTTCCCATTATTATTGATTTTGATGGAAAGCATTGGTTTGAATGATTGACTGGGAATACCATTTCAAGCCTAAGTGCATGCTACCTGCTGCCTATCATTAATAATTGAACAATTGATGTTTACTTCTCATGTTTACATACATGCTTGAAACATGGTGCTACTTTGTGTATATGCAAATGCATGAGAAACATGAAGTTATAATAGAAGTTGATAACAAACTGTCGTAACTGAAATTTTCATATGAATATTGATTTTCTTTTAATTGAATATCCTTGTTCTATATACGTATCTTTAAATGATGTGAGTATAAATTTAATGAAAGGAGTTTTGAGATATGGATTATGAATATTTTGCAAATCTATAATAAGATTGAATTTTTATAATATACATGAGTAGTTTTCATTTATTGAGATAAATGATTTCTTATAAGACTCTGAAACCTTTTATCAGAGGAACTAGACACAATGCTTGTCAGTCTTAGCGTACAGCCCTTGTTATTCATGACCTCTGTGCCATGCTTGTTATTCGTGGTCTCCATGGCACCTGTATGTGTTGTGCTTGTTCTTCATCGCATATGGACTTTTTCTTCGTGGCATTTGTGCTGCGCCTAATATTCATAACGATGTGCTTGTTATTCGTGGCCTTTACGCTGTATTTGTTATTTGTGGCTTTTGAGTTGCATTTGTTATTTGTTTTGTCTTGGTTCCTCTAATGAAACAAATTTTCAGAGAAAAAATGTTTTCAACATTATTTTGTATTATTGAAAATAAATACTTTTATTAAATTTTTTATTATTTAAATTATACTTGTGACTATTTTCTTTGGTTCCTAATTTTGTTTAATATAAGCGTAGTTATAAAAAGTTTGAAAACAAGGTTTATACAAGCAATAATAAAAAAAATTTATCTCTTTCATATTTTGAAATTTGTGTCAATCACAAACTTGCATTCACACATATATATTTCTAGTGTTTAATAGATTTGAATTATCAAAGTATGGCTCTTAATTAATTGTGATTCATTATTTATATACATGCTCTTAGATTATTTTATTAATAAGTTGTGCATCGGGACTACATTTACTTGCCTTGTTAATTGTAATTCAGATAGTATAAATATCACCTACTTGCTGGATAATTGTATTAGTGGTTATGATAAAGTTGATTTTATGATAACACTGATTTATTCTTTTGTTGTGTATAAAATTTGCTCCACAAAATTTACAGATATGATGTCCCCTTCCTTGTTTGTTTATTTACATATGCCTAAATTAAGGGAAAGGTTCTCATATCTTGTTTAAAAAAAAAGAATTTGTTGATTGATTGCTGCAGATATGTTTGAGAAGCCCAGCGTATAAAGATATCTATGATATTTTATTAATAATGTAGATCTTACTAATTGTAAGTTGAAATTATTAAATTAGACGAACTTACAAAGAAACTGAGCAATGTTAACATACAGCTCCAACACCCATTGGCCTTCTTTTGAAGCCCTCCCTCATTCGGTCCCAGCAATTAATGCCCACTCATTTATCCAATACTTGAAAGTTTTCCTATGATGCCTATAAATATTTAGTAGCTAAGTTGGTCCATCTCCTACTCTCAAAGGTCCACTAACATCTCCTATTTAAAAATAAGTCTTGTGGGTTTTATTTTTGACAGTAATGTTATTTATGTGGTTGATTATATTGTTTTATTGATATTTAATGTTGACAGGTCTGAAAGTGAGTTGATTGAGACTATTGTTGAGGATGTTTCTAAAAGAGTAGACCAGGGACAATTATTTGTTGCTGAGCATCCAGTGGGAATAGAATCACGGATTCATAAATACACAATTGAATGGTTAGAAAAGAGATCTCAAAAACCTCTTATCATAGGCCTCTGGGGGATGGGAGGCATCGGCAAAACAACTGTTGCCAAAGGCATCTACAATACAATTGGTCGTAAGTTTAAAAGAGCAAGAAGTTTTCTTGCAGATATAAGAGAAAATTCAAAAGATGCTAATGGCTTAGTTGGTTTGCAAAAGCAATTAATTTCTGATATCATTAAGACAGATTTTTTTAAGATACCTAATATTGATAGAGGGAAAAGAATAATTCAGGAAAGATTTCCCACCATAAAAGTGTTTGTTGTATTGGATGATGTGGATAGTGTCAATCAACTGAACACATTTTGCGGGAGTATTGACTGGTTTTGTCCTGGGAGTATAATATTCATAACAACTAGAAATCTACGTTTGCTTGATGCTATTAATGCTGACCATAAGTATCAAGTGACAGAAATGAGCGGAATGGAGTCTCTTGTGCTTTTCAGTTGGCATGCCTTTAAGCAACCACAACCCTCTAAAGACTTTTTAAAATTTTCTAAAGAGGTAGTTGCCTACTGTGATGGACTTCCACTGGCTCTTGAAGTCCTTGGTTCTTATCTCTATAAGAGAGAAATTACACAATGGGAGGTTGCATTGTCCAAACTACAAAGGATTCCTAAGGAAGATGTACACAAAAAGTTAAAAATAAGTTATGATGGATTGGACGACCATACAGAAAAGGATATTTTCCTTGACATATGTTGCTTTTTTATCAACAAGGACAGCAACTATGTTACACAGATATTAGATGGTTGTGAACTTCATGCAAAAAATGGATTACAGATCCTCATAGAGCGGAGCCTGGTGAAAGTAGGTAGATATGAAAAGCTTGAAATGCATGCTTTATTACAAGAAATGGGAAAAGAAATCATCCGTGGAAGCCCACCTAAAGATCCTGAGAAACGTAGCAGACTATGGTCTCAAGAAGATGTGCTTGATGTGTTAACAAATCATGCAGTAAGAATTTTCTTAATATACTGATTTATTTTTCAAGTTTTGATGTCAAGGGATGCATTATCTTTTTCTAAAATACAATTACCATCTTCGTTTTTCATTGCCACATCATACGTGTTGCATAGCCTTTGTCATAGCAATCTTGTACATAAAAAGCAAGATCAAGAGATATATACGTATTGGCTATTGATTGGCTTTCTCTCAACATTTATCATATGTTCTTCTTTGCTTATAACTTTTTTTCTCTCCTAAATATTTACAGGGAACTAAAGCTATTGAGGGTATCTCTCTGATGGTACCAAAAAACCATAGAGATCCCATCGATTCTAAGGCATTTAAGAAGATGATGAAACTCAGATTGCTCCAACTAGACTATGTCAATCTTAAAGGAGATTATAAACATCTTTCCAAAAAGCTGAAGTGGGTTCGGTGGCATGGATTTCCATCAAAATACACTCCAAACAACTTTTACCAAGAAAAACTAGTTGCTATTGACTTCAAATATAGCAATCTCAAAGTAGTTTGGAAAGAGTCCAAGGTATATATGTCTGTTGTTACGATCTATGAAGACAATCAACAACACTCACAATATAATTCTTCTTGTCTAAAGTTTCTAATTCTTCACATGCATGTTTTGTAGAAGTTGCCAATGTTGAAGACACTCAATCTCAGTCATTCATCTTCCTTGATACAAACTCCTGATTTTACATATCTACCAAACCTTGAAAAGCTTATGATGAAAGATTGTAAGAGCTTGATTTTAATTCACGAGAGCATTGGGGATCTAAAAACTCTCCTTCATCTTAATCTAAAAGGTTGCAAGAGTCTCAAAGATCTTCCTAGAAGCATCTACAAGTTGAAATCATTGAAGATTTTCATTATTTCTGGGTGTTCATTGATTGACCATTTAGAAGAAGATATTGAGCAAATGGAGTCCTTGACGACTCTTATGGCAGATAACATTTCCATAACACAACTACCCAAGTCATTAGCAAGATTGGAAGGGCTTAAGCGTGGAGATGTATCTTTCGCTGGTCATGAAGGAAAAGGGCAAGATATATTTCCTTCTCTCATATGGTCTTGGATGTCACCTCATGATTTTCCTCCATCCCGTATTGAAGAATCTGTGCAAGGCGTATCATCTATAGTTGCCTCAATTGGATGGAATAGTGGCTTGCGTGGTCTATGTCAATTTCTGGGCGATCTTGTGAAGCTTCCAGGTACGTGGGAGCAATGTCGATCACAGTTTCGATTTAATCAGAGAATGGCAAAACTTTTGGATGCATTGTGTGAGAAAAATTTTATGGAATTTAAATCAACTCAGGATACACCCGAGATCTTAATAATGGAAGCTTCTGCGTCATCTAAGGGCCATGATGACCAAGTTCACAGTGCAAGGTCAGCAGATTCCGTCAATTCTCTTTTACTTCAACTGGGAGAGTGCGACAAAGCAGAGTTGCTAAAAGAGGAAATTTCACAGGTTTGTCTCTTTTTCTTTTTCTTTTGTTTTTTTCCAAGCTATACTTAGCGTGTGTGTGTGTGTTTTATGTGTTGATATAAGGATGAAAAGGCTTCACTTTCGTTTACGGACAATAATAAACAGAAACATGAACAATTACTTCCCTCATGCTCTAATAAAGATTTCTGCTCTTTTCTTTTCGTTTTTGGGCACATTATTATTTAGTTACTGTGTTGATGCAATATAGGGATGGAAGTATGGTGGGTGGGATGATTCTCACCTACCTGGTGATCAGGATTCTGATTGGTTCGTCTTCAAGGGTGAAGGCTGCTCCGTAATTTTGAAGGTGCCACAAGTCATAGGTTGTCAGTTGAAAGCGGTGCTTCTCAATGTTGGGTATTCTTGTATGGATGACACAAGGCCTCAATTTCTCATAAATGTTCTAATCATTAACCACACAAAGGATGCGATTAAACTACTGAAGGGGGACCCAGCAACTTTCCCTGAAGATGCAGAATGGCAGAGTATCATTTCAAGTTTTCAACTTGGTGATATCGTGCAGCTTATTATAAGTATTGGGCCTCAATTTCATGTGAAGAAGATTGCAGCGTACGTGATTTATGACGGTTCTAAGCGTCGCAGGTTATTGAAATAATTGTTGCACAAATTGATCCCGGTTTGTAATATAGCCTCGGTACTTCTGTGGTAGGCTGTAATTTTTAGAAAGGGAAAATAACGATTACGGGCTTTTTAAGCAAGATAATGACAATTGATGAGCCCAAAATTTGAAACTGCCAATTGCCACAGATTTCAGCCAAGATTTTTACAAGTCAGCTGGGGCAATTTGGTTCTTAGAATTTTCCTAATCAGTAAATGACCTTGATCTTCAATTGGCATTTTCAAGTTTTAGGGTCATTAACTGTCATTATCCTGCTAAAGCTGATCCTAACAGTCATTTCCCTTTCAAAATCTGTCGTGATATGTTCGACAATGTTGTGTGTTTGACTGCTTGTGTGTGAAGACTCAGATGGGTGAATTGGACTTTGAAAAGATTATTGTTGTTTTTTAAGTTATCTATTGACCGATAAAAGCTTTCCATTCCGACATCGTGATTTGAAGATCAACTCTCTTAATACAATATGAATGTTGGAAGTTCAGATTTTTAAATTGTCAAAGTAACCAATTTGAAATCTACCACAAACATGGAATATAAAATCTGAGATCAATCCATAAATTTCAAGAAACACGTTTCTGAACAGCAGTTATCATCCTTTAAACAGTTTTTTTCAAGAAAAGCACAGTAGAATCAGAAACCTTGACCTTGCACCACTAATTTCAAGTACGTTGCAGTTTAAATGCAAATGCAATGAGGTGGCTTCACATGTTGGGGGCCTTGTCAAGAAGATAAAAGAATAATGCAGGCGTTTTTATTTTGTTATAACAAGGGAACCTGAATTTATATTTGAATATCATAATCAAACGATAAGTAAAATTCCATTTTGGTCCTTCGAGGTAACTCCTGTATCAAATAACTTCATCAATGACTTCTTGTTTCACTTTACTACTTTGACAGGTTGACTTTATTTCAATCTTTGTTCTGCAAAAATTTACACAGGATACTGAAAGGGTAATGTTAAAACAAATATTACACCTTGGAATGGCCCATGTATAAAAGGATCACAAAGATAGATAGATATGCACAGAGTTTGCTCTGTTTTAGTTAGTTTTCTGATGGATCACAAGGGCAGCCATGGGCATAATAAAAGTACTGCTGTGCTATTTGTTTAAATATAGGCGTGGTCAGAGTCCCTTGCAAATTAGCAACCTACATAAAGAATACCAATATACTAACGCGGCAAAGTCAAATGGTTCTTTATTCTCCAACATTAATTTCTTATTCCCATATCAGACTCTCCTGCATCCTATTTTCACCAGTGAACAAGTAAACTATATTAATTAAATTTGTTTTGCATATATATGTCTCTACGATTTAACTGGATGAGATTTTTCACTTGGATGTCTTCGAGCTTTATTAATATGGATTATTATCCTCTGAAATTAAAGATTTTTACCTTTCAATAGCTGGAAACAAAAGACTTTCCCCCAAGAGCTGCAAGCAGGATTTCAACAAGATATTGGTCTGCTAGCTTTCTTTCACTACCAGCATAGTCACTTATAAACATTTTGCTACCTGATGTTCTCATTTCTATTCCAATGCTGTACTTTTTACATTGTAAGCCTTTTTTTATTATTATTAATGTCATATAATTTTTTTTTAATTTGCAAGATATGATTTATTATTGTAAATATACTAAAATTTAGAAATTTAATTTAATTTTTTTAATAAATTTATTAATTTAACTACAGCTGGCTGCTCTATGATGGTGAAGGGAGTAAGACTCATTTACAAGAGTCCGAGAAGGAAAATCTACCTATACACTACAAAGGTTTAAAAAAAAAAAAAAAGGCCACCCACGTCTTATAAAGCAAAAATTATTCACTCAAATACCATACTTAAAATCATCTAGGTCAAGATCTGCCATTATTTTCTCACACTCACCTCGTCACCTTTCCCGCATTCACGCTGCAATGTCCTCATCATTCTTTATCGGCATGCGCAAAAAATTTGACTGGATAGAGTTAGAGGTAGGGGCAAAAGGAACGTATAATTATTAATTATTATTATTATTATATTTTATATCTTATCTAAATATTTTTTAAAAAATACTTATTATCTATTTGGCGTTTTTAATCAAATATTTGAAAAAAAATTATTATATTTTATTTATATTGTATAAAAAATATTGGGAAAACCATATTGGAGGTACCTATACTTTTTTTCAATTTTCAATTTGGTACCTATGTGTTTTTTATTCTTAATTAAATCTTTATTTTTCCTCTATTAACATCATTAATCCTTATGTAGAGACTAAAAATATCAATAGAACAAAGTTATAAGAGCTAATATTGCTAAAAAGATAAAATTAAATGTTTAATTAAAGGGAAAAAAATACATAGGTACCAAATTAAAAATAAAGAGAAAGTATAGGTACCTTCAATATGGTTTTCCCAAAAATATTTAAAATTAATTTTTTTAAAAAAAGTATATAATAGTTAGTAGGTTGACAAGTCAATCTGTCAATTCATTATATTGGGTTATGATTGGCTATAGAAGACAATCGGTCATCACACAAGTCTTTTTAACTCAATATTGCCTAGTCCTAACCCGTCCCAGTTGCAGGTTACCTCATATTATTGAGTGAATGAGAAAACACTAAAGATACGATATGAGTGAATAATTATATATGTCTAGAAAATAAAAGTAAAATTTATGCATTTAAAAAAAATCAAATGCAGTTTGTATAATTTATTTTTATTTTTAGAATAAATTTATGTGAGTTTTAAAAGCTATCGCTATAAATTCATTGTGCACTTGAAAATGTTGGAGTAATTATTATAATTGTGTTGCCTGTTTTGCTCTTGCAGCCACGGACAAATACTTAATTCTAATATTTTGGACAAATAACTTTTTTTCATAAGGTGGAAACAATTTTTGGACAAATAACTAATTGTAATGTAATTCTGTAATTCTGTGCTAAATATGAGCAGACAATTAAAAATATATGCAGAGCTAAAAACTGAGTGTTAACAGAGCTCCAATAGCCCTGTTGTGCCATTGGCCTTCTTTTGAAGCCCTCTCCTTTCCCGTTCCAGCAGTTAATGCCCACTCATTTATCCAACACTCGAAAGTTTTCCGACGATGCTTATACATATTTAATAGCTAAATTGGTCCATCTCTTATTCTTCATGGCGCACTAAAATTCTTCTGTTTAAAAGCAAGTCTCGTTGGTTTTATTTCTGATAACGGTGCTATTTATGTGGCTGATTATATTGTTTCACAGACATTCATTATTGACATGTCTGAAGCTAAGCTGATTGATACCCGTGTGAAGGATGTTTTAGAGAAAGTAGATATTGGACAATTGTTTGTTGCTGAGCATCCAGTGGGAATAGAGCCTCGATTTTAGAAAGTGGCAAGTAAATCGTCCAAAAAGAGATTCCAAAAAGCTCTTGTCAACAGGATTTGGGGGATGGGAGGCGTTGGCAAAATTACAGTTGCCAAAGCCTTTTACAAATACAATTGGTTATAAGTTACTAATAAGAGCAAGAAGCTTTCTTGCAAGTATAAGAGAAAATTCAAAACATTTTAATAACCTAATTAATTTGCAAAAGCAACTCATTTTTTATATCATTAAAATAGAAGTTTTCAAGATACCTAACATTGACTGAGAGAAAAGAATAATTCAAGAAAGATTTCCCAACATAAAAGCATTTGTTGTATTGCATAATGTGGATAGCGTCAATCAACTGAACGCATTATGTGGAAGTCCTGAATGGTTTAGTCATAACAACCAAAGATCTGCATCGACTTAGTGTCATTAGAGTTGAACACAAGTATAGAATGAGAACAATGAATGAAATTGAGTCTCTCAAGCTTTTCAGTTGGCATGCCTTTAAGCAAGAAGCTCCCCTTGAAAGCTTCATAGAACTTTCTAAAAATGTAGTTGCTTACTATAGTGGACTTCCTCCGGCTCTCGAAGTGCTTGGTTCTTATTTGTTTGACATAAAAATTGAAGCATGGGAGGATGTGTTGTCTAAACTACGAAGGATTCCGAATGATGAGATACAAGCAAAGTTAAAAGTAAGTCTTGATGGTTTAAAGGATGATGCGGAGAAGAATATATTTCTTGACATACGTTGCTTTTTTATTAACATGAATAGAAACTATGCGGCCCATATATTAAATGGATGTGGATTTAATGCAAAAATTAGAATAACAACTCTCATTGAGCTAGCCTAATAAATGTTAATAGGAGCAATAACAAGCTTGAAATGCATGACTTATTATATGACATGGGAAGAGAAATCATTTAGAGAAGCCCACGAAAGGATCCTAAAGATCACAGTTGATTGTGGTTTCAAGAGGATGTAACTAAAGTGTTAATGCAAAATACGGTAAAAATTTCTTTCATGTCCTATTTTCTTTTGCAGGCTTTGATGTCAGGAAATATGCATTGGTTTTTATGCCAAGAAACAAAAGTTATGTACTTCGTTCCTTTTTGTTGCTCCAATTTACGAGTTCCATATACCCTTTGTCATAAACATCATATATAATTTATGCATTGTATTTCTCTTAGTAAATAGGGAATGCCTTTTCTTTTCATAAAGTTTTTATCTTATGTTTTAATAGGAAACAAAACTTATTGAGGGCATATCCCTAAAGAAGCCCCATGAAGTGTGTGAGATTGATTCTGAGGCATTCAAGGCAATGAGAAAACTTAGATTGCTCCAATTAGAGTATGTAAATCTTAAAGGAGATTATAGGCGTATCTTTCCAATAAGCTAAGGCTGCTTTATTGGTATGGATTTCCTTTAAAATCCATACTTGCCTGTTTGTACCTGAAAAACTTAGTTGCTATTGACTTCAATTACAGCAACCTCAGGGTAGTTTGGAGGAAGCCCTAAGTATGAATTTGTCTTTCCTGCCTTTTCAAATGTTTAAGCCGTCAATATTATAGTTTGGGTTAATTTTTCACATTGAACTTCATTTTTTGTAGTTGTTGCAGTGTTTGACAATCCTCATTCTTAGTCATTCACCTTACCTGAGATAAACTCCTGATTTTATAAGCATACCAAACATTGAAAAGCTAGTGCTTAAAGCTTGCCTGAGCTTGAAGATAGTTCACCAAAGCATTGGAGATCTAAAAAAAAATTATTTTGGTAAATCTAAAAGACTGCAAATGCCTAAGGGTTCTTCCTAGAAGCATCTACAAATTGAAATCATTAAAAAATCTCATTCTTTTTGGTTGTTTATTGACTGACCTTTTAGAAGAAGATATGAAGCAGATGGAATCCATGACAGTACTAAAGGCAGATAATACTGCCATAACAGTAGTACCTAAGTCATTAGCAAGATTGGAAGCGCTTAAGCATGGATATGTATCTTTCCCAAGCCTTGCAGGAAGAGCACAAGATATATTTCCTTCTCTCATATGGTCTTGGATGTCACCCACTGATATTCCCCAGTCCGGTAGTGAAGCCTTTTTGCTAAGCATATCTTCTCTAGTTTTATCTTTTGTACAGAATGGCAGCTTTCATGGCCTCTCTCCATTTCTGGGCGATCTTGCCAAGCTTTGAGGGACGTGGGAGGAATGCCGATCACAGTCTCCATTCAATGGAGAAATGGAAAGACTTCTGGATGCCTTGTATGGGACAAATTTCATGGAATCGGAATCCACGCCAAGCACATCACAATTCTCATATGTGGAAGCTTCCGCATCATCTGTCGGTCAGGATCAAGTTAACAATGCAAGACCAGCAGATTCCTTCAATTCTCTTTTAATTCAAATGGGAGAGAGTGGCAAAGTAGACATATTGAAAGACAAAATACTACAGGCTTGTCTCTGTTCTCTTTTCTATCCCCATCATGTTTGGAAATATGAGTTATCTGAAGAACGTGACTCACATCAATATTTCTTACATGCATGAAAAATTTGTAGTTTCATTAACAGACGGTATTACCTGACAGATGCACTATTACTTCCCACAAGTCTAATGAGTATGTGAAAATGAAGGGAGTCGATATTTTATTTTCCCTTTTTTGGGCCATATCGTTTTATAAGTACTTAAATACAAGCTTCTGATTCCTGTGTTGATGCAATATATAGAGATGGAATAATGGTGGGTGGGATGATTCTCACCTAGCTGGTGATCAGTATCCTGATTGGTTCATCTACGAGAGTGAAGGACGCTCGGTAATCTTTAAGGTGCCTGTAGTCATAGGTTGTCACTCGGAGGCGATGCTTCTCAATGTTGTGTATTCTCCTTCCACGGATATCACAATGCATTTCTCATAAATGTTCTGATCATTAACCACGCGAAGGCTACTGTTAAATAGCTTAAGGGAGACTCGGCAACTTTCCATGAAGATGAAGAATGGCAGAGCATCATTTCAAAGTGTCCAACCTGGTGATCTGGTGGAGCTTGTTTTACCTGTGACGAAGATTGCGGCATACCTGATTAAAGGTAAAAGAAACAATCATGGAACTTTTCATTAAAGACAATGAATACTTGAAGACCAGAAAATTTAAAACTGCCGATTGGCACAGACTCCAACCAAGAATTTTGCTAGCCAGCTAGAGCATTTTGATTCATAAAATTTTCCTAATCTGTACATGACCTTGGTGTTTCGTTGGTATTTTCAAATTTTAGGGTCATTAACTGTCATTATCCTGCTAAAATTGATCTCGTCATTTTCCCTTTTAAAATTTGTCGCATATGTTGGATGCATGGGTGCTTGTCTCTGAGTAGTCTTGGATGCATGGGTGAAGTGGACATTCAAAAGTTTATTGTTGTTTCTAAGATATCTTCGGATTGACTGATATAAGCTTTCCATTCCAACAATGATATCTGGAGATCAACTCTCTTAATACAATGTGGATGTTGAAGTCCAGATTTTTCAATCTTCGGAGAAACCAATTTGAAGTCTCTTTTCACCAAAAGCAAGAACAATAAAAGCAGAGATTAAGAATTTTTACCTCAGGAAAAAACAGAGATTAAAAAAAAAAAAAGAAGTAATTCTTTAAGAAAAGTCAGCTTCCCAAATCTGCATGTGACAAGACATACCATCTTCAAATTCACAAAACAGAGTAGAATAAGAAACCTTGACTTGCACCACAAGACACAAATTCCAAATAAGTTTCAATTTAAATGCAATTGTAATTTTTTATAATACTCTGTGAAACAACTTCCTTGAATAACAATCACAAATGACAATCAGATTGGTTCAGTAATCTGTGCGTACTGTGTTAGGACTAAGAATCTCACGCACTACATCCATTAAGATCCAAAGAAAAATATTGATTGCTGTGAAAATAAAAAAGGACAAATAATTCCCTAGCTGAATCATAACTGAGAACATGGCTTTCACTATCTTTGAAATTCAACAAGCATATAACGAAAATAAAATTGAGGTGATAATAAATTCAACTACTGAATTATTTCTGCTTACAAAAAAACATTTCTGCCTAAAAGATGCCATTTGAGGTGGCTTCATATCTTGGGGGCCCTGTCAAGAATATAAAAGAATGACGCAGGCTTCATTATTTAGTTATAAAAGAATTTATATTTGAAGATTAGAGTTATAAAAGAATTTATATTTAAAGTTTATAGTCAAGCAATAACTCAAATTCCATTAGGTTCTCCAAGATACCTGTATCAAATAACTTCTTGAACGACTTCTTGGTTCACTTTACTAATCCGATAGGTTGGCTTTATTTCAATATTCATTCTGCAAAAACTATCCAGAACATTGGAAGGATAATGTTATAACAAATATTACACTCAAGAATGTCCCATGCATTCAAGGATCACAAAGATGGATAGATGTGTATAGGGTTTGCTCTGTTTTAGTTTCTGATGGATCATAAAGGCAGCCATAGCCATAAGCTACATAAAGAATACCAATTAGGCCATGCATGCTAATGCGGCACAGTCGAATGCATCTTCATTCTCCAACATATTGCTTTCTTCTTTCCATATTAGACTTTCTGCATCCTAATTTTCCCGCACATGACACTTACAATCCGATGACTAACATCAACTCTCCTTTTTAAGGGAAATGTAAACTAAAACTCTATCAGACCGTTCAGCAAAAAGTTTTTATTAGAGGAGTATCCCTTATGGATTTATGAAGAATTGAAAAGCTCTTTCAAGCTAGTAGTATTTGTTTATTGGTTTGATTATTTTTATTACTGCATTATGAGGATTAGCCTGTGAAATAAAGCACATGCTCCATATAGTTACTTGTATGCAGGGTCTTATATTACTTGCATTCCCTTCACTTCTGGACAAAGAAGATAGTGTCAATGAACTAAGAAAGTACAAAAAAGGAGGACAAAACATACTGCTACAAAATCTAGAACTGACTTTTCTTATCAGTAGCCCGTATGATTGGTAAAACTAGTACTCCTTACTATTCTTATTATAAACTTAAAATAACTAAAAAATTTTAAAAAAACACTTTGGGTCATTAAATTTACCAAATTTCTAATTAAGTCACATAATTCAAAGAGGAATTTTAAAATTTTAGGAAATAATAATTATGCCTTTTTTTTTATTAGAAGCCAAAAGAAAATTCTCAATTAACATATTCCATTTTATAGTTCACATGTTTTAATTTTAGGGTTAAGGTAAGTCCAGCACCTTAAAGTATTTTGTCAGGTGTGCCCAACATCTTATAGTATTTTGTGGTGCGCTTAGCATTCTGAAGTATTTTTTTCAGGTACATCCAATACCCGAAAATATTTTGTGGTACAATTTTATTCTTAAAGTATTAATTTTTTTTGTCAGAAATGAAGGTGTGTTTTTAAAGTATTGTTTCATGAAGAGTTTTAATTTCATTATTAACTCCTCAAAAGGTCCGTTAAATAAATATATATCAAGCACTATAAAGTATAAAGTATTTTTTAAAATATTTTTAGAGTGTTGGATGTGCCTAAAAGAATATTTCAAGATGCTAGGTACATCACAAAATACTTAAGGTACTGGACACATCTAATAAAATACTTTAGGTTGCTAGATACACCTTAACCCTTACTTATAACTTAACAACTTTATGTCTTCATAATACACTTGTAATAAGCCTTTGAATAAAACTTGATCACAATATAACTTTTAAAATTAAGATGTTTCATTTTGCAGTTAACACATCTCAATTCTAAATTAACAACTTTCTGTCTCCATAACACTTACAATAAATTTTTGCATAAAACTCGATAACAATATAATCTTGACAATTAATAAGTTCCATTTCACAATTAAAATGTTTCAATTTTAAATTAACAATTTTATGTCTCTATAACACACTTACATTAAGTCTTTGAATAAAATTTTATTATAAACCTTCAAAATTATATTGTTCTATTTCGTAGTTAACACATATCAATTTTAAATTAATAATTTTCTTTTTCTATAACACATTTACAAGATTAAAGTAGGAATATTAAATATAAAAACCAACCCACCGTTGTCTCCTTGATTGATTTTCTGACTTTGCAATATAGACGCCGAGTTTTACTCAATAAGAGCACTTACGCAATATGAAAATGATAAAAAATTCTGATATCTCTAAGCTTCTCGTTTCATAAAATTTTAGAATCTTTCTTTGGGTCCTGTGACCTCATTAAGGCTTTAACAAATGCGACAACTCAAATAAGAATTTGGGCTATTTAAATATCTTTTTAAGATATTTTTCCGAGTTAAAAATATTTATAAGCAATAAATGAAAAAAATAATGAAAGAGAATATATGATGGTTGAGAAAATGCAATAAGAGAGTGTGACAAAAAAGAGAAAACAATAATTAAGGACGAAAATAGAAAAAATATATTAAATATTGGGACAAATCTAAACTAAAGCTTATAACACTGCTTCCTAAATTTAAAGCTCATAGATAGAGATGGAGGGAGTATTTATTACAATAACCCTGAACCAGAAATTGTTCCATGCATGAATGATTTTCCTTTCATGTGAACATTTATTTTTTCAATAAAAGAAAAAAATGGAATGATTAGCGGAACGAACGCTTATATTTTAGCAATACAGATCTAATACTTAACACTGGCTGCCCCAGGTACCCCAATACCCCAGATTTTTTATGCCTCCATACCTCTCACCATCTTTTCCCCCCCTTTTCCGTTTTATCATTTTTCCTTTCCATTTTTTGTTTGTTATTAATTCCCTAAAATTATTCTAATTTGATGAACTATTTTATATTTATTTTTCATCTTGCCTGATAAAAGGAATGATATATAATTAAGATAAAAGGAAGGGTTAATCAACTTTTTAATCCTTGATATGAATGATATAATATAAACAGTGTCAAATTATAAAGAAAGAAGTTGACATAACTTATAACCAAAAAAAAAAAAAAAAACTGGTTTAGGAACTAAATTGATTGAGGTAATAATTCAAAGGTTAGTTAGTCGGACTGGGATCAACTAGAGATCAAACAAGTCATATTAAAATAATATAATTTAATTAAAAAAATAACAAAATATAACAACATTAATAATTACTAACAACAAAATACAAGAAAATATAATAATTGTTTGATTGTGCCAATAATAAAGTACAACGACATTGATAATTTTGATCTTTATTATTCATTTATAACTAAAATTAATAATTATTGATAGGAAAATCATCATTAAAATTTATTCAAATTAATAGTGACTGAGATATTAGGAGCTGAACAAGATAAAAAAAGAACAAATAGCAACATAATCATTCAAATCAGTTCATCATTGATTCATACCAGTTTTCAACAGTGCACCCTAGTGTAATCGGTTCGATACCAGTTCAATTCCTGCCCAGTTCAACAACCAAATCAAATCAAACCAAACTATTGACTAATTCACCAGTTTATTTTTGTCCTAAACATAAAATCTTAATTACTTTGCTTTGTAAATTTATATTTTTTTAGCTAAAGTATTTCTATTAAGAGTCAGTATAATCTTTGATCTCTTAAGTTGGTCCTCATTTTAGTTTTGGTTCCTCAAGTTTTGAATCATAGGTTTTGGTCCCTCAAAAAACAAAATGATTCAAGTTTTTATTGGATGATAGGAACCAATATTTTAAATCAAAAAAACTTGAAAACCAAAACCTATGATTTGAAACTTGAGAGACCAAAATCAAAATGAGGACAAATTTAATGAACCAAAAATTGTATTAACTTGTCTGTGAACTACATTTTTTTTTAGCCAAGCCTATTAGTTATATATACTAACGGGTTCTTAATCAAAGAATAGTTCTAATATATATGATTATAAAAGTAGTTTAGAAAAATAAAAACACAT